GCTTCAATGCTGCTACTCATTTCTCATTGAAGTGATTGAATTTGAATTACGAACAAAAATGGCATGTGTTGTTGACAGCTGCTATCATTGATGAAAAACAACTTACATATATGTAGTTTCATTTCACTGGACATAAAAACAGGTTTTCAAAGTCAATTTCCTCTTAATATTTACATACATGTATGTAAATGCATGTCAAGTTATCTTAAAGTTTTTGTCAACAAAATCTGGTCAAATATTAAAAGTTTGGTTATTTTCGCTCTTTAATTAGAGAAAGCAGTCAAGTTTAATTTGCCAAAAAATTGTAAAATCACAAAAAGAATGTTAAATATAGTTGAAAGAATGTTTTGGGGGAACCTGTACAGAAGAGCAAAGGTGTCACAATCAGGGCCTCTAGCATAGCATTGGCATTTGCAGCAGGCTTTCATCTGTGATCTCTATTTGCATAATTTGTTTACATCATGTCTTGCACTTCGCAACAAAAGGGAATTTCTAACAAAATGTGCAAAAGGTTGGGAAAAGAGAGTCTTCATTAAACTAACAAAAAGAGGAAAGTTGTGAGAGAGCCCAAGCTAAATAAATAAAAGTCGAGTTTTTCTTTTTTCCTAGCTTGCTTTGCCCACTTTTCCTTCTGTTTTTCCCAATGAACTTTAGATTTTGAGTAACTCATGTTCCTCTTTGGGTGAAATGACCTTTCCCGTAAATTTCAAAAGAGTTCTTTATCACAAGACTTGCAATGGGGGTTCAATGTTGTATTTCATTGGACAGAGGCATGACCACTTTGACATGCCCTTCAATGAGGTGCAAAAACTGTGATTTCTTTAGAAGTCAAGTACTCATGGTTTTTTTTTACATGAGTTACCTCTACTTGAACAAATTAATGGGGTATGTAGATTTGCTGGATTTTTATGAAAATTGGCCAAAACATTAATCAGATATGAATGCACAAAAATGTGTGATGCTATGATGAAATTGGAAATATTTCTCTTGTAACATCACAAAGCCTGACAACAACCAAAATATTTCCTATTGTCCAACTTCGTAGCCTAACACACTTTGTTAGCCTAATATCTGCTGAGTGATCCTGTCCAATTTATTTTAGGGTTCACAGTAATATGGAGGCTGGTAATTCAGTAAAGCAAACACTGTCAGTGTTGAGTTTAAAGGCTGGTGCTCAACTACCTTAACAAGATTTTTGAAAAATTTTGTTATCTTTGTAATCTGTACTTAAGAAGTTTAACAGTGGAATGTAGTTTTCTATGTTGTCTTTAAAAGTAACATGCGAAGGACAATTTTTATGGAAAGCACCCTATTTTGTTGACAGTAACCTTAGGAAACTTCATTTGAAGATAAAATATTTCTTTATTTCACCTCAAAAATAATCATCATTGTCATCATGAAGTTGTAAAGTATGGAAAGTCACTGCTTGAAACTAAAATCAAAATTGCTGTATGTTGGATTTATGAGGAATTAATAGAATGAAAATATTACCTTCCTCTGTTTTTTCTGAGCATATCGGGAAACATGCATTGGGGGAATAGACTGCTGTTTTTCAAAATCACTTGTGATCACACTTCTTTTCAACAGCTGAAAGAACAAAGGACATCACCATGCCAGTACTCAAAACCTTAACATTCAAATCATGACAAAGGCAATGTTAGTATAACAAAATTTAATATTTTATCAAGAATTTATTTCCAAAATTCATTAATCATAAGTCTAAACAGCCATATGATTTGGTTGAAATCTCAAAAAATACACTTAAACCATATGATGGTAAGCAGTTGTTTTACCTCTCTGTTATTACAGATGTCATCGAAGCTTTTACTTGTTGTGACAGGTTTGAAGCTGTTTTTGTCAAACTTGAGATATAAATCTTGTGTATTGATACCAACTTGTAGCTCTGATGACAGCTCTGAAGGACTAAACAACAACAAACTCCATTTAGTATGTATGTATATATATATGTGTATATTCAATGGGGAGGGGGAGCTTGTTACTCCGGAGTAAACACTACTAATTAAGTTAGATTCCTTTTTCTCTCTAATTTTTGTCACTTATTTGTATTCACATGCCACCCATAGTTTTTTATTTGCCTTTCATTTTTTAACCCTTAACAGTATGTAATTTAGACCTTTGTTGTATTACATAACCTCAATCCTAAAATTTCTGTTTTGTATATAAGTTGCAATCATTGTAAATAGATTTTTAGTTTTTAATTTTTAACCTGAAGAAGGCTGAACGGCTGAAATGTTGTGCATTGAACTCGTCCAGAAAAGTCAAGAGTTGGCCTCTTTTTTACCTCCTTATAGTGCACATACTACTTTTTTATGATACACATAATACATTCTGGCCAAAACTTAGAACAAACTGACTTGGAATGAAATCAAATGACCATATAGATGGAAGTGATCGTAAAACATCTAAGCTGATTAGGCCATGTAAATCGAACTTGCTCAACTCCTTGTTGATCACCTGTAACCTGTAAAGTCACTCTATGTATGTACGTCTTTGCGATTTTAAGACAGGCTGGCCCAGTTTAGCCCAAAGGTGGTTTAATTTAAAGGTGGCCTGCATAAACAATGAAGGCCACAAAGACAAAACTCGCCACACACCTAGGAAATTTGCAATAAGTCCCACTAAATTAGAGTGAATCGAACAGTGCTAAAGGCCAAAGAAAGCAAAGATAACACCGAAATTTGATGGTATTTGTTGTTTGTCTCCCGTGATCAGATGTGTGAATTACAGAGAGCGAACCAGCTTACAGAAGTCGAATGGTAAACGTCTGAGGTACGACTTACTCTTTTACTTTTCGTTTAAATTCGTCTGGAATACTGAGAAATTCATCTGTTTCAGAGAGAGATGAAGAATTCCCTGCATTTGCTAGTAGCTCATCTTGTGAACTTCCTATCCTGTCTACACAGAAAACTTGTTCATCATTCTCTTCTTCGTCTTCACTGTTTGTAGTTTTCAACGCAATGTAATCATTTTCTTTAGAGGTGGACTCAAGTGTTTCAATAACTCCAGTTTCATCTTGACTACTTCCTTCATTTTCGGAAGAAGTTACAGTTTTTTTCGCCTGCAGACGCTTGCTTCTTCTCATTTTTTCAGATTTTAGATTTTGTACCCACGCCGCACAAAGTTCAGCAGTAAGTTTGTACTGCGGGCGCTTTGAAGACTCGTACCCAGTCTTATTTTTTTGTTTTTTCTAGTTCCAACCTTTCCCGGCTGCGCTCTCGCGCGGACAATTATTTAGACATTTATGAAAGTGGATACTTCTATTACGCGTGACAAGAAATTAAAGAGGGCATAACGAATGCTACGTCCTTTTCGCCGGAATTCCTTTCTCGCATTTGTTCAGGCCTTCGAAATATTTAAAACTGATACGGCTAATCGAACTCATCAGCGAGTACATGAACTAAAAAAAAAGTGATCGAATCCTTCCTTTCTTTATTATTTTTTACATCCCAAAAATAGTTTTCTTAGGCACTGTCATCTTTTCACTGTTGCTGATATGCTGAATTTTTCTTTTCCTCTTTTTGCGAATGTTTCTCGCTACCAAAGTTAGCACGACGGAAGCTTGAAGAAAATGCTTCTAGAGCTACTTGGCGCTCAGTGTCTTACAATGGGAAAGAGAAAACAACACTTTTATTTAATTTTCCAATAAAGGATACGTCAGTATAAATGTACTCATAAACTAGAAACTTCTCGGCTCATTCAACTTCAAACTGAGAATTTTTCTTTTAATTAATTATTGACAATTGAATCTCTATAGATTTAAATTGAAAGCTCTAAAAAAAAAAAGAAAAAAATTGAATACAAGCTCGTTCACAGAATCGAACATAAGGTTGAATTATATTTCGCTGTTTGTCAAAAAAGGTTTCGTCAGTAAATCTCGCTCTTTCCAGGACTGATAATCTGTAAGGCTGCCAGCTTGATTTTGAAGAAGCTGCGCCAACCGTAGAAAAAGCTTTCAAATCGTTCAGAATTGTCTTCTTTTTCAAGCATCACCTTTTACACCTTGATTAGTCGCGAAATGAACTGATAATCCCACAGGGAAATCTATCCACTTCACACCTACTGAAAGGCAATTTCTCACCATCATTAACAATTTTGCTCAACGTCGTTTGGAAATCTTGACTTTAAGAGGATATTTGAGATTTCTGTGGCATAAGCTCTGGCGCTTTTGTGGAATTAGCAGCGTCACAAATTAAAGAGTCTTATGTGCATGTCGATACTTGAAACATATTAAAGAGCTTTCGAGAGTTACATGTTGCATTAAGGGTTTTTCCTGTTGAAAAGGATAGAGTAGGAAATAAACTTGGCCGATTAATCAGATCTGCCTTGAATTGATCGTTTACAAAAGATCATTGAGTGTGACGAAGTATTGTTTCAAAATATCTAGAGCAAAAGTAAAAAAGGAAAAAATTGGTCGGCACCATAAAACCAGAGTGATTATTGGCGTAATACAACTAAATATCGGATTAAATTTCTTTTTGCCACTTACAAAGACGTCGGTTTTTATTACGCTGTCGAGAAAGTCTTTAAACAGATACTCGATGTACAACACAATTAAACTTTCTTACTATTGTTATATTCGTGTTTGTGCGCAAAATGTGTCACAACTGAGTGCGCCGTGTTTTTCTTTTCATGCGCCGATGAATATTACCATCATCCACTTCATTTGCACAAATGGTTTCGCTGAGTTCCTAACTTTTAAATTATTGCACCCACAGGGATGCTTTGTTGAAGTCGCCTTATCTGGGCGCGATCAGCTGCGTCATAAGCCAGTTTAAAAAACTTTTAATTGGATAGTATTAATACTGCGCGATAAGACACAAAACCAGAAAACCGAGCTTTTTACACCTGCCCTTACCACAGGGAAAATATTTTGCGCAGATTGCCCAATGCTAAGCTGGCCCGCCCAATCACAAGTCGATGAATACATAGTCCCTGAGCAATTAACGCCCAACAGCGAATTGTTAGTGTGACACCTTCCTCACTTCAAAGCAGTTTTGTATAAACTTGACATCTCGGGGGTCAATTAAGGCGATTGTTTATAAAACCAGCCAATCAATTTACACTTGCCGCACGCGCAGGCTAGTTTTCATCTCAAGCCTCTGTTAACATAAACGCGGTAAAAAGGTGATACACGACTTAAAAGCCTTGCAGGTCACTTATTGACTTCTAAAGTGCGCGTCTAAGAAACGGAGACGAGGGATATAGAACCAGTTTTAAAACTATGAGCCTTTCAACAAGTGACTCAGAAAACCTCTCACCTAAAGCTGCAGCTTTTTCTATCGCCAGCCTGCTAACTAAGACTTTTGATGAAAATTCCAGCACTCGAAAGACAAGTGAACTCAATCCGCCCTTAATAGATCTCAAAGAGAAAGGAAATTGGTGGAAGGACTGCCAACGTGATAAACCAGCACAAAAGACGAAATCACCTTCGTTCTTAAGGCTGGCGAGTGAAGATCATTCTATTAAGAACATTTTGAACAACGAACAGCCGCTCACTGAGAAATACGGAGAGATAAAAAGAAGTGGAATAAGAAGAAACACATCAATCCTTGATCCTTTACAGCAGTTTGCTGCTTGTTGTGACTTGGTTAGAAATCTAGACACCTTCAAGAACACTTCATCGTATTGCCCTCCCCAGAGGAGAGTTATGGAGTTGCACCGAGAGGTACAAGTCGCTATGCAACAAAGTGATCTGTGGTGGAAATTCTACGCTTGCGGTACAGAGATGGTGATTACGCGCACAGGAAGGTGAGAAAAATTCGTGTGTAGTGATACTTTGTGTGGCAAAATAATTCAGACTTTTCTTCATTGAAAGAATCATCAACAAAACCTAACTACAGATGAATTCTTCAAAAGTCACTTCAAATGTTTATGAAATACTTATCATCAAAAACGTATATGCTAAAATTCCTATTATGTTTTTCGACATGCCGGTGAAAATTATACAAATTATCTGAAATGAAATGTTATTAAATTGGTAAGAAACTCGGCCGCATTTTACCAAATTTTACGCCTTAAAAAAGTCAAGATTCGAATTTCAATCTCTTAGTTCAATCTTCCTGACTTCTTCGACTAAATTTTGTAGAATGGGAAAGACTTTAAGAGACTTGATATTGAAGTGAATGAAACTTCAGTGGTTTTGGTGTAAATTTTCTAACCACTCTTCTGAGACACTTTCACTACCTTTGCTGACACGAAAAAAGATTCTCGTAGCGTATTAATTACGGTCTAATAACTGACAATCTCCTAAAGAAGTTACTTAGAACCCCAGTTCACTATCGTTTAAATTGGCCTTATTTTTGAAACGCAATCTAAAGCTTACATACAGGCTTTTTGCATTTCATTTAGTCAACGATTATTTTCACTGCGGGTAACTTGGTTTTCTTAATTCGCGTCTGATAATTGCTCAAAACATCCGACATGGCTAATTCCTGGGCTGAAATATGAAAAATAATGTATCCGCTTAATTCCTAAGTTGTTTTCAAGTATATCGTTTATAGCTTTCCATCCTTAAATGACGTCACGTTCTAAGATATTTTCTGTCGGCATTTTAACGCACGCTTTTGAATGCTGAGAGTGCGGTCGCGTGCCACAAGAATAGTATTTCTCTTTTCTATACCTTCCCCATGTGTAACCAACAAAGCAAATCTCTTTTTAGTTTCTTTTAAACTGTTGATTTGCTTTTTCTGCATGTGCCTTTCAAAGGGAGCCTTTTCTTCTGTCGAAAGTCGATTGTTTTAAGCAAGCAGGCGAGATTGGCGCCAGCCAAAAATAAGCCTATTATTCACAATTAAATCTTTTAATGCACTTTCTGCTCTTAAGATTTAACTTTTGTAGGGGTCTTACGATGACTTCTGAAGAATTCTGCATTTGATTGTAAATGCATAAAAAAAAGTTTGTGGTTGTATTTACCCGATGTCTCAACAAAAACTGGGCGCATGTATTTCATTCCTTCCTTCTACTTTTTTCTTATGTTTGTTATCAACAGCAATTCCAAACTATGTTACCTATATGACATTAAGAGAAAATAACTAAAACGACGTATCGCAAGATACAGAGATAACTTTTTTTTATTTATTGTGCAGTGTTCTTGATACAAAATATACTAAAAAGGTTACAGTGTTATAAAATTTCTGGATCCTTTCAAATATTGCTATTATGTTCCCCCAGGTGTAGAGTTATTAAAATTCGGGTTAGTGACTTTTAATATGCAAAAAAATACCAGATATAATAAAGATAAGGATTATTCACATGTGGACACAAAGAGCTTTTTGATCGCTTATCTTCCCGAGTGCGGAATATCTACCGAAAATAATTCAATTGGCATGTCTTCTTTGATCAATCACGCTCAAACAAAAGTCGAAATCATAGGAAGATCCGATAGTACAAAACGGTGTGCCCCGAGGTATCAAAATATCGAGATAATGAACACAGGTCACAGATTAGCTTAAATGAATATGAGATTCAAGGGGCCATAGTCGTGACAATGAACTCGAGTTGGAAACATTATCGAGATGCAAAGGGGTAATGGACTGTCGATTTTAAGGTGGTACGGATTTTGTCTGTTTTCTTGAGAGCGTTATCGTCAAATGTATATATTTTTGCTTGTTTTTGATACCTGCATTTCACTTTCATCATACAAGGTTGTACCGATAAAATTGTTCCCCATCACGAGGATCGGCAATATTAGCAATATCACCGTTTTGATAATCTGTCTTTTGAGACATTAGTTGTTTATACAACTCCCAGATCTGCAGATCAGAAAAAGCGTAGGAGGTGGAAGCTACAGATAGTAACAAAACCACAAAAGGAGAAAGGCATATGGGTAACGTAAAGTAAACAACCACTTAAGGGTTTAAGGCAGATTGTCTCCTCCACGTGCCCCGCTCTCTATGGGTGTGTCTAATTGTTCGTGACTCCTACAATAATGACCGATGTTTTGCCTCTGCTAATGAGAAGAGAGGTCATTTGAACAGATGACAGTGATCGCATAGCATGTGCTTTAGATTACTCTAAATTTGACCCTTTTGTACTTTATTTTCATTGTGCCCACCGTGATCGTAGCTCATACAACGCAGATATTTAGAACTCTTGATGCGTGCCGGTCATAACTACCGGTCTAACACGCTCACGCCTTAGGAGGGGTTTTGTCATCATCCTCAGAGGCTGGGCCTTAGAATCTATCGTTATCTAGCTGCTTTTCATGAAAAGGCTTCACAACAAGGCTTTCATCATGAAACAGCACCTTTAAATTGCATTTCACCTGCCTTCTTGAACCTATCTTGGCAAATGCGAGCAGATTGTTTATCAGGTGGATCACCCCACAGAGCACACATCCATCATTTATTTGAAATTATCTGATGCTAAACAGATTCATTTCTTTGCAGACGGATGTTTCCCACACTTGCGCTGTCTTTCCTCGGAATGGATCCTCGTTGCTATTACTCAGTGCATGTTGACATTGTCCCTGTAGATGGGTACGCGTATACGTTTGTGAACAATATGTGGCAAATAAACGGAATGGCAAGCGAGATGCACGCCTTACCCTACATACAGTCTTACCAAGCGGATGAAGTCGCTCATACAGGGCTCTACTGGATGAAAAATGGCGTAGACTTCAAGAAGGTTCGTCTCACAAATCGTCGCGTTGGCCCATTCAAAGATGGCGAGGTTAGTTGCTCACGATTACATCTTAGAACTATCTACGTAATTAAGCTGCTAGAGCTGATCTATCTAGCTGGAAGAAATTTGTTTTGTGTGGATATTTCCCCTAAAAGTAATTCTTTTTGAGAATTTTGGGTTTTTGTATCTGAAAGATGCAGATAAAGAGAGCGCACTGTGTAACGTAACAGCGAAAAACAGAGAATCATGGGATGGGCTCTAAGTGCGCATGCGTTATTTATAGCCACGGTGTCTGGCGAAGGAAATACTATGATTTTGGTTGAATTTCCAGCTGTTTTTTATCTTTTCAAACATACTACACGAACAGATCAAATGTTTCTAAGTTACTGCGGGTTAAGTTCACTGCGTGCTTTAACCCGCAAGAGCTGTCATAGGATATTAAGGAACTTTTTGGCGATAGCGAGATGACGATTTTGGTGATTTTCCACTGAACGATCTCATAACTTATTCATATATCGTTTCCTTTGTTTCCTTTGTGTTCGTGTTTCACCTCGTGTTTCTGCTTTATTTTCATGCTTCGAAGTTAAGCGTTTCAAAAAAACTTGATTATCTTAAAATCTTTGAACTAGCTGAAGATGACACCGTTTAGCTTTCAGAACGCTACATATACATAATGCGAATGAAGGCAAGTGACAGCGAGGTATTTGAACACGACATGAAAAATATACCGCGTGGCCAAAAAGTTTTTTAATGCAAAGTTCGCGCCGCGAACTAAAAGCGTAAAACTAATATCATCCAGACTTCTTGAATAATTCTGCGAAAGAAAACCACCTAAGTTAAAACAGCAAAGAAACTTTTACTCTTTTTGCTTGTTTTAATTTGTGTAACAAAAATTCATTTTTAAGGACATACAGCAGGAAAAAATGGTTGACAGAGCGATTTTAAAGAAGATGCTGACAGTTGATTTTCATTTGCACAGTTTAAAAAGTAATATCTAGGATCTAATTCGGTATTAGCTTCAGTTTGAATATTCTCTTGAAAGTAGTAGAGTTTGTTTTTTTCAGAATTGAAGCATGATAGATATTCGATTCAGTCTCTTTGTCCCCATCTCACAAACCAAATGTTTCAAGGATATCATTTTTTCTTTTCCGCGGAGAACTGGTTTGCCAAAAGTTTTGTCGTTTCTTGTCTCTTACAGCTCCATTTGAGTCCAAACAGAAAATACCAGCCAAGAATTCATGTTGTTGAAGAAACAGAAGAAGGTGTAAAGGTTTCATGCTCAACTTACGTGTTCCCTGAAACAACTTTTATCGCCGTAACAACTTACCAGAACGAAGAGGTATGTGTTCAGATTAAGTTCCATTTTACGGTACTCACTACAGCTCGAGTATCAAAAGGAAAAAATTACGGAAAGCACGACCTCATTTCTGATCTGTGTTAGTTCAAATTTCAGTAATTTTACTATACAATGGTTTTAGGAGTCTCGCCATTGCAGCCGTTTACAACAAAAAATTTAAGACTAGAAAATCTCATAAGTCAAATTTGTTCTAATGACAATCAATTTAGATTCTTCCCTCGTAATCTCCTATACCCTAACTTCGAGGATGTGCTGTCTAGATTCAAGGCTGTTACTCCGAATGCATTATCGCGTCTTGATCCTCATAAAGGGACTTTCAAATTGTGCTTAAAATGTCATTGGTTTTTGATATATTTTTGGTATGTTTGTTGACTTACGTTGTTTTGTTTTCTTTTAGTTGATTCAAATGAAAATCGACCATAACCCATTTGCCAAAGGCTTCCGAGACAAAGGAACAAGGTAAACATTAAATATTTCATGAAGTTTTATGATAAGCGTTCCCACAATGCAGACAGCTGAAATTGGATTGAAAATTGTGCCTGCTAAGTACGTTGTTGAAAAGATTGAAGACTGACAAAGTACAAGATATACCAGTCCGTCTTTATCGGAAATCTCACGCGCAAGATACCGAGATAGTCGAGCCGATTGCATTAAAGAACAATTTACATGCTTGCAAATAAAAACGGCCTAAAAAGATATTTTTTTAGCAATCGCAGAGTGGCGTGGATTACAGATAAAATTATTCAAACAATGCATATGAAATTAATTTATAAATTGCTATTAAGTCAAACTTCTGTGTTCTAAAATGCTTTCACTCACTGAGCTTACTATCACCTATTGTTGAAACAAACGGGAAATTGTGAAAAACGAGTATAGGAAAAAATATACAAATAACTTAAATCTAGTGAAAAATTTCACGAGGCATTCGCAAGCAGCTTTGTTATGCTTGCATCCAGCTATATCAATATGGCTCTGCAGTAATCTAAAATCGTATTTACACGAACACAGATCTGAAGTTTAGTCATGTTTGACTTATTTTTAATCATCATTGTGAGATTAATAACATTCTTAATAACTCTGAAGTGTAAAATTCTCACATTGGGCTGATCGAAAAGAATTTACATCGCCTACAAGAAATCTTCAATTTCGTTTATCACGGTATTTTCTTGTTAAAAACGAGTAACCGTCATCAAATCGAAACGTCGTTTGATATTTCTGTGCACACCATAAACTTAATCAATTAATTCAGGAACTTTCTCTAAATATAATTACCAGCAGTTAGAGCATGTTAAATACTACACTGCTGAACATTTGCACACTTACTTCATCATCTCAAAATGTTTGCGCGACGCGGAAAACTCGACTATCGTGCAATGCATATTTCAAGCGGCTCTCTAGTATCTCATAGCTCACCTTACACAAGAGCTTTCCTCACGCGGGAATGGACTGAACACATTTGTCAGTAAATGAGTATTTTCAGACACAGTGAAAAAAAAAAAAAAAAAAAAACCAGTTCTCTTCATTTGACGTAATGAATTTTTCGTTCATCCCTTGTTTTCACACTTTATAACTTGAGGTGAATTTACATACGCCTTTCCCAGGCTTTGTTTTAGAAGACTGATTTGAGTTGACAAAGCCAAAGGCAATAACGACAACAATGCTGAAGAGAATGCAAAGGATTGTAACACTCAAAAATATTGTATGATGATGTTAAGAAGAACAGGGAGACTTGGATCCATATAAATTTTTGATTAGTCAAAATATATACTTCTTGTTTGAAGTCCAGCTCAGATTGAAAGTGTCTTCTATAAAAAACATGGAGTAACGTTATGGAAACTGAAGTCATGCGATGATTTTTTTTACACGTAACCACGTGGTCCGAAAGCTTCCAGAAGTAAACCACGAAAATAATTTTGTTCCTGTGCAAATGTGGCGTTTGTGATAGTCTGAAAACATATATTATTGAACTGCGTTGAACCTCTGTTCAGGAAACGAGTGAAACAACTTTCATGGAAAGCTTGCATCTATGATGAGATTCAGTGATTTTTTTCTTATGGTGTGTGTTGATTTCATATTCAGAGTTACGCTGAATACCAAAAGCTTTAATAAGAATGGAAGAAAGAACACCTATGCTTCTGTTTAAAATCAAATGCATTGCAGAAATTTATTAGTTTTAGAAAATTAATCTAAAGCCCTACTAAGAAACTTTACAGTTATTTAACTGGGACAGAATATTCACGGTCGATGACGGTATTTTTGCTTTCCAGACACAAAGCGGTTAATTAATCACTGAAATTTGCGTCAAATATATTAAAAAGATATGTACAAGCAGAGGCTAATTTGATTCGGATATGTGCCCTCGGGTCGTGCGGTTTACTTCAGTGAATCGAAAGCTGAACTTCAAATACCTATTTCCGGCTGACGAAAAGAGAACATTTTTGGTTTTATTTCCTTATAAGCATAATCAAGATGCCCAGTTAATGTTGTGGTTCTACTAAAACATCACGCAAGAGTGCATCAGGGGAACATTTGAAACTCTTTCGCCGTCAACTGTGCCTTCATTGTTGAATCATTAGAAAAAGCTCTCGCTTGATGCCACGTGGGTTATTGTCCTTTGCTAAGGTGCGTGAAATTTTGTTTAGTGAACAGAATAGTAATTAACATATTTAGGCTTTTTTTTTCTTCTTTTTTAAAGTCAAGAACAAGAATCAATTAAAAACCTACTGAAATATTACTTTTACTATTGGAAAAATATTACCTTGGAGTTTAAAGCGTATAAGAACTATACATGACCCTAATTTTTTATATATAAGCGATGTGAAAGGTGATAATATTACGAGGAATTATGTGCGACGTGATGTATTTTCTGCTTTTTTGTTCTCACCAATAGTGATATCATTTCCAGTTCTATTTTTTCCAACGTGTTATAATGCTATTTGGCACATGGGGCCTTTCTCGTAAAAATTGTATAATTATAGTTACTTTTGAGCTAAGTTCATTCGTGTTTAATATATCCGAAAAGCGTCCGGAGAATAGAGGCTACCAAACTTTATAAATAAAATCAATTAAGCTTTTGATAAGCTTCTCGAAAGCCATGAATTTCTGAAGGCCTGGATTTGTTTACATGACTGCTAAGTTTATAGTTCAACATTATTGAGAAATTCCCCGTTAAAGTTACAAGTACTATGAGACTTAACACAAAAGATTCTTTTGTTCAGCCTCGTGTCGCGTGCCGACATTGATCCCTTTCTGTTTTCTTTGCTTCATGAAACAAAGAGAAATTAAGAAAAATGCTTTACCATTCACAAACGTCTTGTGAATAACATACAAACACGAAAACATAATTTTTCTCAATATCACAACCTGCTTGTTACATTTTTCCGTCATTTTCAGTTGTTTGAGAATGAAAGAAGAGTAAAATAAAAAATGATGTGTTAAAGTGGCACTTCACGATATCTGTTATCTGTATCGACACAAGACACGTAACGCTCCCTATCCGAAATAAAAGAAAAGTGGAGAGTTAAGTGATATATTAATCTCTAAAAATTTAATTTGTCCATAGGAATAATAAACTTTTATTCACTCGTGCCGTGTGTCGCGTGCCAAGCGAACTAAATAGCCAATTAGAACACTGTTCAAGCTGTTAATCGCCTATGTACCGATCTAATAAAATATGATAAGTGAAATTTGTGGGATGCATCTATTTACGGGTAACATCTCTTTTCGAGCTCCAGGCAACAGGCCGGGTGGAAAATCAAAAAGCGTTTAGTTATTTAGTAAAAGATGCATTTGTTCTGTGGCAAGGTGTTCAGTGAACCAAATTTATCAAACGATTTCCCACAAGAAAGCATCATTTGACACACCCTAAATATATCTCGATAGCACTGAAAACAAATTTTTCATTATTTTGTCTCTGATCTTGTGTTGCTTTTATAAGGATTTTTCCACTTGATTAAAGAGTTTTTCCTTTATAATTCCTTGGAATCTTATCTGCGTGTTTTGATACATTTTTGACATCTTTGAGTATCAGACTGTTTTTTTTATTATCATTTCAATCGATTGTCGCTGCTGCTTTTTAAGTTTTCCAGTTCAGGGTCATTCGTTAAAGACCAAGTTGAAATTTATTCAGGCAACATTAGAAGAAGCATACCGAAAATATTTATCAAGATCATGTTTCAGTGCGGTTTTTCCCATTATATGTTTGAAGCAACTTACTTGCATGTTACCTTTTTTGAAAGATGTCGCGAAACACTTGGGACATTGGCTCGGGTTAGATTTATTTATTAAGATGTGTTTATTACAATTCTAACCACAGCCCACCTAGCTGACACTCGCTGCAAAGTTTGAGAACAAAACTTTTGCACCATACGATTCTATCGAGGATATTTTTCCCGGCTTGAACCATGCTTAAAAATTCTTACATATACTCAGCGTTTTTCAAAGTCGAATTCCACAAGTTGCGCAGATTATTGCTGGAGCAGGTACAACTCTCTTATGTTGGAACTTTCTGGAGGTTAATTTAAAGGGGCCATTGATTAGCCCAACTCTCCTTTGATTTGATGATTCTTTCCAAATACAAAGCTCGAGGTCTAATAACCCGCGTGTGAAACCAAAACTTATTCATATCGTTATCATTATCAAGCATGTTGAATGTGTGCTTCGTTTTCTTGGGTGTGAACCTGCATGAGGTTATTTTGATCCGTCACTCTTGCTCAATTGTAACACATGGTCCAACTTTAATTAACTGTTATATTAGCGACTTTTTAGAATAAGCTTAGAGCCAATAATAACGAAACAGAATATTAAAAATCATAGCAAATGATCTTTGGAGATACACAATTTTAGATGTAAGGCGTGATTTCATTTCATTCAAAACGCCCTCTGTAACCTGAAATCTGCCTAGTCCTGATACATCTTAATGAGCAGGTCTTCGGTTAAACAAGCATTAGTTTGAAGAAGCTCATATTTTCTATACAATTTTGTTGCAAAATGAAAAGCAACAATCTCATTTGTTTTACGATTTAGCGAAGCATGACACATTTAAGTTGGATGAAATATTTGGTCTTGTTTGTTTACCCTCGTGTCGCGTGCCATTAAAACAACTAATTAAAGTTAATATTTCGCAAAATGCTTCGCAGCGCGACTCCAAGCTGAGAGAATATCACTATTGTAGCACGAACGTGTGCCATGTTTGAGCGCCCAGCTGAGCCACTGTTTCGCATTATGCTCGCTACATTTGCGCATGTGTTGAGTCGCGTGGATTGGCCACGTGTAGAAGTTTGAGGAAGTTCAGAGCTCACTGCAATAAATTTCAATAATGTAAAACGACGTGGCAATATGATCAAACGGACCACTTCTAAGGATATTGTTGTATTTTTCATCAAAGATTGGCGATGCGTCGGTCATATGTTTACTGATTTACTTTTATCACTTTGTCGGTCAGACTGACAGACCTTTCAAGCTAACTTCCTCAAAAGAAACGTAGAATTCATTCATTCATTCATTCGAAACACAAAAATGCTTTAATTTAATAATTTTCCCTCACAGTACTAAACATGTACCTAAAAAAATCAAATTTTAACCTTGAGTATCATCTTGTTCTTCCCTAGATCTACACAATTAACTTTTTAAGCGATTGCTGAATCATTTTAACTACGATTTAGCTATCTAGCATTAGAAGTTAAGTAAATCATAGAATAAGTACGTCTAATGAAAATCTTACTGTAACTTAGACAATATTAATGATTAGGGTTCCAAAGCTTTTAATTCTACTGTATTTTTCCGTTTCAGACGCAGATATCTTCCATATGAACATAGAGATGATGTGTCGGATAGTTCCCAGGCTTCTTTGAGCGCACTCTGCTTTTCAACAACAAGAAATGTCGAAAGAACACCGGAAACCACGCTCGTACCTGCACCACTTCACTTAAAGCTTCATGATTTGTCACAATACTGAGACTTCTATCAACAGAGGAATTTCGCATGTTTACTTGCTTCTCCTTGCAACGCCAAGAAATGCATTAGATATGAACTCAGCGAAATAAATATATAAAAAAAATAAAACATGTTGAGAGAAAAGAAAGCAGAAGAAACCTCAACGTAAGCAAATGTGACAGAACTGAATGTTTTGTTGAAAAACTTTACTTTTTTTAAAATACCCATTAAAAAAATGCCGTATCATGCGATATCAACCGAGGTATTGCCGGTTGACTCGATCCAGGCCTTCAGTTCGTAAACGGACAGCGATAAGCAAGCCAAGCTCCCTTACTTTTCGCTGTTAGGTTTTATCGCGCCCTTATACAATTTAGAGAGGGGACTAACGCCGCATGGCATGTCATTGGAATTTCTGATTAAGAACCGAAAGTCAGGTTGGCTGACGCGAATAGGTTTTCCTGTTAATTTCAATTAATGTATACAAGGAAAATGCATTTTGACCAAGAAACAAAGAAAATTTTTGTAAAAAATTAACGATTACGGGATCTTTTGGCTTTATTTGATGCAAATGGTTAAGTTACACATGATATCATAATAATAAAAGTGCGACTGTTTGATTTTAGTTAGACTAGTTTCACCTATAAACTTGGGAGGAGTAACACTAGCTAATCTGGCCACACCCATATTAGAGGAGTTCTTTTCTTCATTAATTGACATACTGCCAAGTGCATCCAAAGTTCAAAGTTCTGAACAATCGCTGAAGCTGGCAATGTTCTAGAATATTAAATTCCGTTTGTTGCTCACTTTTAAATGAATATCTCGGATATGTTCCCTTTCCCCTTTTTCAGAAACCAACCATTTGCATTCTTATGAATGAAGAGGATCGGAGAGCGGAATAAATATATCGGTTTATTTTTTATCCCAAATATTTTGCTTTAAACGCGAACATAAGAAGACACTAGCTGATGGCTCACACGAAATACTTCATTCTTGTACAAAGACTCACTCTCGTTGGTGGCCATTTTAAGGCCAATTGTTCACAGATGCAGCTTTTGCATGCCCTCTTAATTAAATGCAATTTTTAAACTTTGTCGCAATTTCCTATATCTAAACAACTGAGTGCAATTAATGACGGAGTAAAAGTGTATTTAAGATCGATGGCCAGAAGACTAAGATTTTAAGTGAAAAGTGCCTTTGGCGCGCGCTGATTGGCTAGTTCGGGAGTGAATAGCAAGCACTATTTACTTCCGAGCAGCCGAGGAGACAAAATCGCGCGTCGAGAGTTTAATTTTCTACCATTTTTCGTATCTGTGAAGTCTATACTGAAACAATCATTCCACTCAGTAGAAGTGGTGGAAATTTTCTTCGTGGCTTCGTGGTTCGGTAGGTATCCACCCTTATTCGCCTCCACTTCGGTGAATAATTGTTTAAAATTTTTAATTGGGACCTTAAGCAGTCAAGACGGCAAAGCCGAGGAAGACGTCGATTAAAAAAAGGGAATTTATATTTTTAGTTAGTATTTCGCGAATGGCTGGATGTGTCTACTGTCTCTCACGGAGCCATATCAAGTTCAAGTGGAAACGTTAGCGTTTCCATTCCCATCATCATCATCGCTCGTTGCGCCAGTGGGCGCATAAGGCCGTCATATTGTCCGCCCAACTCCCCCTGTCGTATGCCGCCGCCTTGGCCACAATCCACCTCTTCCACCCCACCTGCACCTTGCCTCTCTCTCTTTCAACAGTCCTTGTCCAAGTCATAGGCATTAGCATTGAAAACTGTTCAGTTTTCTTTGATCGGTCTTTGTGATCTTCCATGTTTTACAACCATATAGCAGGACTGGTTTCCATTCTCAGACCACATGAATTTAAGTGATTTCACGTTGTTGTTTTGCAGAGGATGGCAAAGAAATGTACAGAGTTTTATAACACTCGCATAAAACAAACGGATTATATGCCGCCATATGCATGGGTCTGTTCGGTAATAGAACACACAAGACGTCAGTCCATATGTGATAAGAACATTAATGAAACTCAATTATCAGTGATTCATAACTCTTCAAACCCCAAGAGTGACTAACATCAAATTTCTCCCCACAATATCACGCCTAAATCACACATCAAGGTCGTGAGAATAAAGGAAATGATCACCAACGAAAGAATCTTTTGATTGGCAAACAAATTCTCCTTGTTAGCAGCTTAGGAAATGTATAAAGAGCAGTATGGGAATATGTATACTGATGTTAGGGTGTAAAGGGTTAACTGAACAGACGCACGCACGAGAACGTGGAATAACTTTGTTAATCTGATTCAAGAGAATATAATCACTTCATAATCTGTTGTCTGATTATGGTATTTCGCTTCCGGATTGACGCCGACTGCGGTTACAACTTCTTTTTCAACCGCACACAATTGTATTTTATTGTTGAGCTGGAAGATGGATCCATTTCATTTGAAGTGGCCTTGTTATCTAAACAGCAGGCGCATTGACTGTTTTTAATTTCAATCCAAGTCACTTTTGGAGGAAGACTTTTACATTAAAATAGTACACCAAAATATAACCACACAGATATTCTTTTTATGGTAACTGGTTGGAGCAGAGAATATCGACGTATCAAGGTATCGTTGTGGATGAAAGAGGGTATTTTACACACGGGGAATAGGTCTGGTAAGCTGTACCTAAATGGGTCGATCAATAGAGCTGTACGCCATACTGACGAGGATCTAGTGCGCTGAGCTCAAGAAAGCTGTCTAAGGCTGTGAACTTTTAATGGTCAGAAGTACTTAACGTCACCAATCTTTGTGTCATTTGGGTACTGGATTATCTCAGTATCTTTCCCAAATGTACAATTATACAACCATTTGGTTCGCAATATCTTATTAAAATAAAACTGATCCGCTGTTTGTGTAGAAAAGCTGACTGCAATACCTATGGGTAATGAAAAATCACTCAATGTTAAATGATCGAAGCTTCTTTGACACTTCTGGCGGCCACATGGCCAATTCTAGACGCAAATAATGCGAAATGTAAATGTAGATCATATATCATGGACGCAATGACGACTCCGAAAGCACAAATGAGGACTTAAATTATTTATTTCTTTATTACAAGTTTTCTTCAACATACTCTGTCATTTCATATAAAAATTGGCACGTAGGAATCAATTTCCTTTCCAGCCTGTCACTCCACTAACGGGGAAGTCCTATGATGAAATCCATTGATAAAATGGAAAGTAGATTTTTAAACTAACCATCCTGTATAATTTTTCCTCTAATGAAAATATAGTTATGTTAAATAATACATCAGTTTACCTTTGAGAAAGACAGTTGCTCGTCTGTTTGTTAAATAATTTTACCTTCAACGGAAACAAACGCTGCATTTAATGGTATAATGGTGATAAAAAATGTTCTAAAAGGGGAAAAATTAAATCAATCAATTGTGGATGAAGAAGAATAATTAGTATATAGACAATTTTCTTCGACAAAAAACAGCTGCTTTGTTTTCACCACTTCCCGTACAGTTTTGTGAAGCCGATCAACCTGTAAAGGAGGACTCAGAAGAGGTGGATCTTCTTTTAAAATTGTTAGTGTTATTTATTTATGTTATTATTTCTTTTGCAGAAAAAAGAAATAATCACTTTCGAAAATTTGTAGCATGCTCTTGATGAAATGTAGAATATTCGTTAATTAAAACTATAAATTTTTTATAAATGCACTTTTATATATGATGTTCATCATCTGTCCATCAAAGAAGCTTTACTGTGCCACAAGTCGTGCAAAATATCAACCCACGAAATATCTGCGACTTAAAAGCTAATTTTGTCTGAGGAAATGAGTAATTTTTAAGTCACACGTGAGCTTGTTTTGTTGGAGACTGGCGCCAGCAACGCTGGTCCAATTCCGTGTACAAGGCCGGCCGCCACCTTAGCGCAATAAGTCGCTCTGTGTATGGGAGAACTGGTTTCTGGATCATTCATCCAAGTATTGATTAAAGTATGAATTTGAAACATGTCTGCCTTTATTGACATTCGTTCCTGTTAAAGAGGAGTAAAGGGGGTTAGTTTCTAGAGAAACTGTGATACTGTGCTGGTGGAAGGGTAGTTCAAGGTGTTTTGGCTTGATCAATGTAAATGTAAATTGGCCTCCGTAGAAAAAATTAAATTATGAATTGTCCACTATCGATTCGCACTGACAAAGGACTGACGCTCGAAACGTCAACTCAAGAAAATTTCTACAGTGGCCAAGTTACATCATCAACTCAGTTGATAAAACCAGTGAAAGAAGAACAATTATATGAAGCTGCAGAGGATCCACTACAAAGTCATATCAATCAAGGAACCTTTTTCACTTAGGTTTCCTGTCTTTAATGGTAATATTCGGTTTTCCTCTTTCCCCTTTAATTAAGAGCGACACAATATCCGGAACTCCTACCGTCTGAAATTATTTGAATACCGTTATCGCAGTTGTTTATTTGTTGCAAAATCGAGACTCAAAAGCGGGCACTAATATATCGGATCTTTTTTATCAAAGGTTTGCATCCAGAACTTGTCATTTCTTGATGGTCGTTTTTCAGGTAAAGATCGACAATGCTGGTGATTTATGCATTTGTATCAATCAACTTCGATGCTGACGATTTGTCGTCGTTTGAAACTGAGGTCCATTAGGTCGAGTATTTTTTCGGAAAACGTAATTAGATCTTATACTCTTGATAACGAAACGTCGGCAGGCAGGCAGGCTCGGAAAGTGAACGATTCTAATCTTTCATTAGGTGATTTGTTTACATTGCTTCGGTTTTTTTTAATACAGTTGGACTTCTGGTTTTCAAGGCGTGGCTTTGAGGCAGCAAGGAAGGCCAACTTTTGAACAGCTTTGATGATACTGGAAATAAACGCTACTCACGGTAAAAGACAAGGGTATGTTTCAACGAAAGATAACAGAAGTTTGGCGTGTTTAATTTTTTTTACGTGTTTAAAAGTTAATTTTCCTTCCAGGTTTGACACGTATCGACAGCAAAGCGCTAACTAATGATGAGTTGGCCAGCGAGTGGGCTCTTATTAGCGCGTGCCCGCGAGATCTCTATTAAGGGCCTGACACTAAGAGTACCAGACTCCAGCAGCTCTCCTTGCGACACGTCTCAAATCTTATCCACGGTTTGTTGTTCTCGAGAGTCTAAAAAAAGAGGCTAAAAACCTGACAAGAATTCTACTTTGGAAGCAAATGAAATTCAAGCTTTTAAAAGAGTCGAAATAATCTTAAGGGAAAGGATAATCAAAGATCTTTGCCCCTCTCTCTTGCCATCAAATTTGCGTGTTTCGTAAGATTGTGAGCTTGAAGGCGATGCTGAAATACATGCAGAGCCATTTCGAAACTCACAGTTATATTTCGGATCAAATAGACTGTAATCATTTATCTTACTTGTTTTCGTGCATATTGAATTTTCTTTTTCTGAAATTTATTTTTTGATCGAGGGGAATAATTAGCGAACTTAAAATATTAAACGGAATCAAATTGCATTTTCAATGAGATAGTCCATGGATTTTTAAATTTTACTCATAGTGTGTATTTTGACTGCGAAGAAAAAGCCTAAATATGTATTATTCAATTCGCTTAACTTGCAAAACAAACAAAGGACAAATGTCTGTTTTTTCATTCGTGTGAACGGTGGGCCCCAATAAAACTTAATATTTTGGTTCCGTTATATTTGCTGCACCAAAAAATTATTTTCTTACGAAATTCAGAATAACATAGAGGGTAACACCATCGTGAATGAAGCCATTGTTTTGTTTTCATAAAACTGTCGCCGATGAGTGAAGGTCTCTCTGCACCATAATCTATCATCAAAACGGCAAATTGATTAAAAAAAAGCCAGGTAACTTTGCCATATATTTATGTTATTATAGTTTTACAGAATTTCGAATGCCGCTTTACTGTATTAGGCGCACTCCAGCTAGGTATTGAATGTTTTATGCGACCGCCGAGCGGGTAATTTTGAATCGAATTGAATTGACTAAACTGCAAAACACCATAGGAAGGCTTACAAACATGAACAAGAAAATCAGTCCTTTTTTTTCTTCATCAGCCTACAAAGTGGGTTTTGCTGGAAATAAAAAGTCAACCTTAGAATGTGTAAGAATATGGAACAAACATTGCAAATCAGGAGACCACAGCTCACCGACACGCCACGGCAATATAAGTTTTAAGTTACGTCTATATGTGACGAGACGAATTCAAAACTACCTTTAAGTAATGCAAACAAAACTCTGTTGTGTCGGCTCCTTTGGCTTACAGTTTTCAAAATTTATATCTATCCATCCGAAGGATTATTCTTCAATAATAAATATTATGAGTAATTCCTAACTTAAGTAAATAAATTGCTTTCGAGGCCATTATTTGTCTTCGATACATTAGCTCATTATTCCTGATATTTAAGTTATTAGAAACACTTGAGGATGGGTAAAGAATGATTGAAAGACAATTCGTCGCGGCTCTGGAAGTTTTCATATATTATCAATTTTTAATAACTTTCGTAAATTCGCCATAAATGTGGAATTTCAGAAAACACCAAAATCTAACTGTCGACATCCAATGGCACAAAAAACGTTTGATTGATTCCTAAAGGTAAGAGTGCAGTGATACGCAAATTAGCTACCATGGATTAAGTTTATATATCTCTTTCTAGAAGCAGTTACACAAGTCACATGTGATAGACATTTTTGTGTAACGCTCTTTTTCAGCCCCTCAAGAGTTATCCAACGCGTGAAGTAACACAGAAATGTCGTTATTTACCAACACTACTACAAATGGAACCAGTATTACCGCCGAGAACGCAATTGAACAATATGAAGAACCAAAAGCTCTGTACATTTTCCGTTTAACCCTCTTCTCCGTGATCATCTCGGCCAGTTTAATCGGCAACTCGATGGTTTGTTATGCTGTGTGTACCATACCTTCCCGCAAGCCTCTGTCCTACCATCTCGTCGCTAACATGGCCTTCGCAGAAATTCTAAGCAGTGTTTGTTTGGCCGTCATGTTTGCGAGCTGGCAGAATCCAACTGACGTCGGTCTTCAAGAGGCCGCATGCATTTTGAATCCGTTGCAAGTAGTTGCTCTTCTCGTTGTGATCTACTCACTGGCTGCCATCGCTTTTTATCGTTACAGATTCATTGTAAACCCTCTTCCACGCGGACCATTCGTTAAGAAGATTACAATTCTGACCATATCTGGGCTGTGGCTGTTGTCATTTGCAATCGCCTGCCCCTTTTTCTTCGGTCTCAGATTTAGAAATGGTGAATGCATCGAGCTGCCTGTCGCAAACAATGAGTACTATGTAATAATTAGATTCATCCTGAATTACGCTTTACCTTATGTGATAATGCTGGCATCTTACGGAGCCGTGGCGTGGAACCTGAATAGGCGGATTGGACAGATAGAAAAGAGGACCCGAAACTCGACGGTCGCATCAATTGACCAAACTCAAGCTGAACTCGAAGTTATGCAAGACAACGAGCAGCAAAGATACGCTCCATGTGAGGAGAACGAAACAAAAAAAGGAATGGTTGAGCAAAAGAACCGAAGAGGTACTAAACACGAAACTACAGACTTGGAGAGAGATTTACTGAAGATGATTTTTGTACTTATTATTACTTTTGTTGTTTGTTATTTTCCGTATCAAGCCCATTATGTGTGGGAAAGAGTTTGCAACATCACTGCGTATCAATTTAAATATCATCAACTCTTTATTGATTATAATTTTATTTTGATTTGCCTTCCCAGCGCCTTACATCCTTTGTGTTATGGAACAATGAACAGTTTCTTTGCTAAGGCGTTCTCCAAAATTATTCTCTGCAAATCCGTGCAATCTTAAGTGAAAATTGAAATAGTATATTTGTATATTAAGTGCATGTGTGGTCCTCAGAACCTGACCAGGTTAAGAATCGCAGCTCAAGCTAGCTTATCGCTTTTAATAATGGTAGTCAGCATTAGCAAAACTCTATTTAACCAATCCGAAGATCGAGGTGTGAAAAGTTTATTCTTGTGTATATTTCGATAAAGTTTTGATATTTTACTTGTGTAAAGAAATGCCATAACAGCACAGGATTATATTTGAGTGAAGTAGCATGGCTGGCGAGGAAACGCTCCAAACGTAAATTAATCTTTTTACACTATGCAAAACATGGAATAAAGTAGAATTGCAGTACCTCCAGTAAAAGTGGTTGACATCTCCAATCCAACTTTTACCATGAAGTCCTGTATAGGAAAGATTGACCAATGTAAATTCTCAAGAACAGATTATTATTCATCTTTAATATTGCTGACCTATCTTTCAACGTTTCTCCCCTGGACTAAGAAATACCTGGGAAAATACCTGGGAAATTTTCGACACTTCTTTGGCTTTTCTTAACATCAGATTTCAATCGAAGGCAAAGGTCTACGTACTAGTGTTTGCTACAAACCTACAGATTCACAGTTACTTGTATTCGTCTTCGCATCCATCACACATCAAGAATTTCATACCTTTTTCACAGTATCTCAGACTTCGTCGTTTATTTAGTGACGACTCTGATTTTTCCGAAAAATTAAAGGCTATGTGCCAGTTTTTCGATAAACCTGGCCATCCTACGGTTTTTTTTCGTTCAAGCGGGCCACCGCAGGGTCCAACAAATTGATCGACAGTCGGCACTACAAACGGCTGAGAAAGAAAATACTGATCGCTTTCTTTCACTCTAACATTTCATTCTGACAACCACGCAGTTACATGGGCGCGCGTAGATATGGAATTTCTCTTCGAGTATATTGTCATAATTTTACAAGAAGTCTGAGACCAGGTTAATTCGTGGAGTCTTAAGAACAGACTGGTTGTCCACGAAGGTAAATTCGAAGCAATGATTTTGAGCACTAAGCCCTTCATAGGTCCTATGAAACCTCTGAAGTGGGGCGACGACATCATTTGGCACGTATCCTCCTCTGAGTGCCTCGGAGTTACAATCGATGACAAATTATCTTGGTCTCAGCACTGATCGAACTAACTTGTTCTTCATTTCACATGAAAGTTAAACTGCTGAGACGTATAAGTTATCTACCCAAATCTATTTTAGAAACTATTTACTTTAAGACAGTAATCCCAAGTGCCTTATATGGAATTGTGATATGGGGGTCTGGCACCAAACTTAAAGAACTAGAAATGAAACATATTAGAATTGCTAGACTGATACATAACTTACCAAAATGTATGAAGGATGATGATATATTAGCAAGAGTTGGGTGGATGCCTCTTGAGTATTTCTATAAGTTTCGTATTCTAACTATCACTCACATGGCATTTTATGGCTTGGGCTTAGATGAAGTAAATTCCTTGGTTGTTACGTGCTCCAATAGTTAAAATCTCAGAAAATCGCTAAATATTTTAATTGATAGACCTAATACAGAACTTGGCCGTAGTTCTTTTGTACACAGGGCAGCAATTGCATGGAATTCATTACCGGATAATTTAAGACACTTTTCCGATCCAATTGCTTTTAAAAATAGGCTTAAAAAGGCAAAAAATGATGTTGTAAATATAAATTTTGGAAAGGGGGGGGGGGGGTGGCTCTGTTGTTTATAATAAGAATTCAACTTTCTACTATTTCTGATATATTATGACGCATTTATATTTGCATTCATTTTGTTTCTTATTCAGGACTTAACTCTAGGTTATTATCTTATTTTACGTTTATTTGTCTTTTATCTTAAAATATAGTAGGTCCACATCAGCTGTAAGGTTACAATTTTTTAACCTACTTATCAAATAAAGATATGATGATGACAATGATGTTGACTTGATATCTCACGAGTGATCGCAGCGAACGAGTCAGACGTCGAGTTGAACACGAGAAGAGAAATTTTGTATCTACGCGCGTCCATGTATTATTTTGTTTATCGTATAAACACAGTAGCCCTTTATTGACAAGAAAAGTTGGACCAACGAATGAAAATAAAAAGGATCGACAATCCCCGAATAAATATCGTAAAGTGTGTTGGCACCAAGCCTCATGATGAAAAAACGCGTTGAAACGCTACAAAAACAAACAATGGGCATAATTTTCAAAATACAGAATCCTTCTTTATTGACTTGGTCCTTACCGACAGAAGTAATCTTCCAAAATCGGCCTGTGGTAAATCTTCCATTTGATGATTTTCGTTCTCAGCCGCGAGAAATGCCATTACCAAAGAACACTGAATGCGTAACTTGCCGTTTTCCTTTCCGTATTTTGGTATTTGTCCCCTTCTAGGAAAGTTTGAACGTCTCTGTCTCAGTAAGCGAAACGGATTTTTCAGTGTTTTAGACGCCATAATCTGAAAAAGTTCCAACAAACGACCTTGGATTGAGAATAGTGAAGGCTACACCGTTCATTCACCAACCTGACTGAAAGGCGCGATAGGCGAGTGACGTGTCAGCAGCTGATTGGCGATATCAAACACACGTGAAAAAGTACGATATTTTTTCACGTGTGTTGTTACGGCTTTTCTTGGGGCTGGAAATCCTTGTATAACATCATAGTTTATATGATAAAAGTTCTTATTATAACATTTCTAACGTGGATAGCCGCCTTTGAATCTTTCAAAGATGAAGTTGGCGTTACATTGCCATGCTTTATGACTTAGATTGGTTTAGAAAATTTGCGTCACCCTCCCGACCAACCGCATGATAGATTAAAACCAATCGCTAATCGATTACTCGTGTTTTCCCGCGCTCTCATTGGCTCCACGGGATGTTTATCTTGCTGACCATCGAAATTTTTTTATGAATTAAATCGAATAATGCTCCATCTTATTTCGGTGGTGAATTATTGATTAGGTTAGTATGGTATGCTGTACAGTCGGCCTAAATTTCGACCTTTCTTCGAATCGTTTCCATAAATCGATATTGACCTTAAATGAGCTGAACAAGACTTTAAAAATACTGCCAGGAAGCTGCCTAGTTTTTATTTCTTGGAGATTGTGCTGTGAAGAATCTTCTGCTACTATAAAAAGAAGTAAGCGTTACGAGTACTCTATATAACGCAGGTATTGAAGCAAAATTTCATAGTAAGATAGATGTACAGACACTTATAGGTAGAAATGTGATCGTAGAAAAAAATTTTAATTTATTGTGGAGCAGCTAAGGTAGCCTGATTATCATTCATTTTCATGGCGCTTGTTTCTTATGATGATGCTATCTCCTTCATCAAATCATTCTTTGCGAAAGCATGACAAAAAGATATCAAAGCCTGTTCCTTATATGGAAGTTTAAAAATAGTAACCGTGTACGTGAAAACGTTTGTGATGAACCGTTGAGAAGAGGTTTTTTTTATTTACAAAATTTTACTCTGCACTCTTACGATTGCAACGTGCGTAAAACGTACGTAGTAGGTAAACGTTCATCTCAAAGTACCAACGCATGTTATTTTTTTAAGCGCACGTTCACGCGCGTGGACAAACGCTACAGTGGCAATCCAGCTTAGTGGCACGACATTTTCCCGGTGTTTCGGGCGTTTGAGGGCCGCGATTTTCTTTAACATCTGGAATTTTCGCCAAGAAGAAGCCCTCAACTGCATACACGACCATCGAAGAAGCCGCATTTTGACTCATCACTCGGAAAACTCACTCATAACTCGTAATAGTGTCATGATGCCGTTCAACCACACACTATCCCAGGAAACTCCTCTGCACATTTTAATTAAAATTGAACAACACGTTTTCAAGACGGTTATCATATTATCGTTGAGATCGATGCGTCTATAACTCTGTCATTTTCTTTGAAAAGAACCAATGATCTCTTGAAATGAAGAGAAAAAAAATAATTAGGTCCATCTTATGACTGACAACTCAATTTTGTCATTTGTTAGAACTTGTAAATATAATTATTATTTATGTACAGTCTGTACTTTAATGTTTGTATTAATATTCTTCAAAATTTGTTTAATTTCGACGAATATGTTATGTTTACCGACTGAAGGAACATCTGAGAGATGTTTAAAGGTAGATTTTCCCGTTTCCTTCTTTCATCTACCTTATGAGATCTATAATATTCTTTAGCTCTATCAGCTGTAAACAACCTCGAAGTTCTTGTCAACAAATTTGAACTGCAGGATGTTTTGACTTCTGATTGTCACTATGTCTGGAGCCCTGAGGATGTTTAAAACACATCGACTCACACTCAGCGTTAAATATAATTACCCCAGGTTTTGTTTTCATGATGACTTTCCATCAAATGCGTGTGTTTCTTCCGAACAAAGAAACGCTTGTAATGATTGTTCTCGAAGTTTCTCCCTCTTCTGTTCAACACAGATCCATATCCAATAACTGGAACATTTGCAGACTCGAACCTGGCGCTGATTTCGCTGCTTGCTGAAATTTTTATGTAACCCGACATATCTGTGGTTAATTTTTATTAAAATATGCGATGTATTTATAAAAGTACAAAATACACCATCTGTTTCGTATTTCTGGTCACTTGTTCCCTACGCCCGATAACCCGATCACTCGATTATTTGAAGCTCTTTCGCTTTCCCTACACGTTCGATTTATTAGGAGTCAAATTATTTTTCCTTTGCCCACAGAATCAGTTCTTTTCAGGCATTTTTATGTTGACAAAAATACCCCTCCATCCTTCCAAAAAACACACATTAAACTTTCCTGAAGTACTTCAGAGGACTTTTACAGTTATTGATCACATTTTAAAATCCTTTAATCAGCTTCGTCTCATTAAACCACCGGAAGCACATATATTTCTATATACAATGGTTTAAACTATATATCATCTGGCAAATTTTGCTCAAGGAACTGAATGATCAGGAAATAATCTATGAGCTTCTGGTCTAAGTAATTTTCCAAGCAAAATCACCGATATGTGATTCTCAAGAGTTTTTATTCAAAATGCACGTGGCGGCAGGAAGTCGTTATTTTCGACGACAAATTGAAAGGCTAGTTTACTTCAATCTGATCTTGCTGAAAACGATCCCCAGCATAACTGAATTTTCAATACGTTACTGAAGGTATCCGTTTTACAGTGTTCCTGTGATTTAGACTAAGGAGACTATTGATACGAGTGCTCTCACTGACGTGAATTGTATTTTTAAAATAAACATACTCTTACATATCAACCTCTACCACGCTTGCATCGTTATAATGGGTATCTTTTTTCAAAGTTGTTCGAAAGCAAACAGTTTTCCGCGAACAATCTTTTGCGGTATTTAAACTCTGGAACTCTCGACTGGAGGACATTCCTTTCGTGTCCAAGATGGCTGCCAGACATTTACAGCTGCCACACTGGGAGCGTAGAACTTTTATTGAGTTCGATTCAAAAATGAGTCAGTTTCACAGCTTGGTAAAGGTTTATCCAAAGTTCCACTTGCGACTTGAGGTACACATTAGTCATAAGGTCTACAAAGAATGATTTTGGAGAACGCCTTAGCAAAGAAACTGTTCATTGTTCCATAACACAAAGGATGTAAGGCGCTGGGAAGGCAAATCAAAATAAAATTATAATCAATAAGGAGTCGATGATATCTAAATTGATACGCAGTGATGTTGCAAACTCTTTCCCACACATAATGGGCTTGATACGGAAAATAGCAGGCAACAAAAATAATGATAAGCATAAAAATCATCTTAAGTAAATCTTTCTCCGGGTCTGTGTTTTCGGGTTTGCTTTCTCTTCGGTTATTCTGATCGAACACGACACTCTTTCGTTCCTTCATTCTCGTGTCCTCTCCCAAATCTTGTAGCTCCGTTTGATCTTCGATTTGGACAACACAAGACGATTCGGCAGTCGAGGTCCGATTTCTTTCGTTAATCCGTACAATTCGCATCTTCAAGTTCCACGCCACTGCTCCGTAGGATGCCAGCATTATGACATAAGGTAAAGCGTAGTTCAGGATGAATCTAATTATTGCATAGTACTCATTGTTTGTGACAGGCAGCTCGATGCATACACCATTTCTAAATCTGAGACCGAAGAAAAAGGGGCAGGCGATTGCAAATGACATCAGCCACAACCCAGATATGGTCAGAATTGTAATCTTCTTAACGGACGGTCCGCGTGGAAGAGGGTTTACAATAAATCTGTAACGATAAAAAGCGATGGCAGCCAGTGAGTAGATCACAACGAGAAGAGCAACTACTTGCAACGGATTCAAAATGCATGCGGCCTCTTGAAGAACGACGTCAGTTGGATTCTGCCTGCTCGCAAACATGACGGCCAAACAAACACTGCTTAGAATTTCTGCGAAGGCCATGTTAGCGACGAGATGATAAGACAGAGGCTTGCGGGAAGGTATGGTACACACAGCATAACAAACCATCGAGTTGCCGATCACACTGGCCGAGATGATCACGGAGAAGAGGGTTAAACGGAAAATGTAAAGAGCCTTTGGTTCTTCATATTGTTCTATCCAGGAAACAGATCCCACCGTGGAGGGCTCTGTTGAGTTTGCGATGTACGAATTGTTGATAAACTCCATGTTTTTTGTCGTCCTCCCGCTCTTGTCGTTGGTCTTGTCCTCTTTGTTAACACCTTTACTGTGAGAGAGATAAGCAGACAACAGATACTGTAGTGCGAAGCCGTTTTCACAAAGACTTTTCCGCCGTCTTCCTCCCGACTGTTTTGTTGATATTCAACGTCACGAATGGCTTCAAATTTTAAACCTGTCAATATATGAATGACGAATTGTATTGATTTTAATTATAATTAAAGTTATCATTGCAGCTCTCGTATCTTGTATCTCGATATACATTAGCTGATGATAATAACTAGAATTACACTTTTAAAGGCTTTTAAACATTTTCCCCGATGAATTCTTTGTTGAGTATTGACTGACACAAATGACACCAAATTTTCAGACCGTGAATGGCAAATGAATGACGAATCAGTGATAAATTATAAATGCCGGTCTCGTCAAAGATCGCTCCGAGAACAAAGAACGGCGCGAGTGTACTTGGTATATTAAAAACCCAGCTGGTACAGAGCCATAATCATTGCATACTCATCAACTGCCAGAGATTCACGAAGTACATTGGTGGGCTTTAAATAAACTTGTAAACATTCTATGGGGTTTAAGTATGCCATCGTATTATAAGAGGAAGTTATCGAGGTAAATTATTGAAGATATCCTACCGATAGACAGAGATAAAACTCACTTCAGTTATCACTAGAATCTACCTACAGCTTTTCATTTAGTTTTGTATGGGGAAAAACTCACGCGAGATATCGTAGCTACAGCTTTTAGCAAAATTCACTTCGGACAGGTTTGCAAATAACAATTTACTTCTCAATCAGCATATGAATTTTTTTAAAAGTAAACAGAGATTTATACTGCAGAGACAACTCAGATCAGAAAATATGAAACTGCTTTTTAACCAAACATTTGATAGTTTGATGAGAGCACAAGACGTCAGCCTGTTAAAAAATAAGAGAAGCACCTCGAACTTTCTTCTCGTCACCCACACTGTTCACTCATTGCTAACACTAATGTTCTTTTGTTACCGCGCGCGTACGCTAGGAACCTCTACTGCACATTTGATCAAAATTGAACTGCACAATTTCATACCTGACGGTTATTTGCGAGGTTTGATCAGCTTGATCTAATTCCTGTCTTTTCTATCGAAAGAAACCGATGATAAAAATAGATACCATCTCTTTATTGAAAACTCAAGAGTTGTATGTAGAATTAAAGTCTAAGTAGTTCAAGTTAGAACTTGAATGAAAATTTGCAATTGAATCAAGCGAATTTTTCGTATGTACTGACTGAGAGAACATCTGGCAGATGCTCAATGGCACATCAATCTTTCAATTTCCTTAAACCCTAGTCTCAAGTAGTCCGAACTATGAAGCGCCGCTACAACGCATGAGGCGGGACAACTCAGCGCTGTCAGCCGCGGAGAATCTTGCTTAAACGAAAAGGGAAAAACGTTTGGTTCTCAGACGTCTGATTGTTAATCAGTTTCTTGGCTTGGAAGTGAAACTGAAAAAAAACCGGATTTAAATGTCATCACACCAATCTTATTTTACCTGTGATTATTGTAAACTGTGATCTTCCAAAACAACGCATATTCAATCACATAAAGATGACGCAAGAACCTTCTAACTGCTTATCAGAACATAACCTCCTAAACCCGTGGAACTGTCAGAGAATATGATAGGCAACCGGAGGTCCTTCTAAAAAGAAAATCAGACTAAAGGTATATTTGAACCAAGCCTCAGTGATACTCAATCTTTTATCCGCTTATCTTTGTTCCTAAATTTACAGAAAATAAAGTAATCCATGAGTTTCCAGTCTTTGTAACTTCCTTTAAGGAAGTTGTAGTAAGTAAGTAAGTAAGTATTAAGTAAATAAGTAAGTAAATCTTGATTTCAATAGGGTGCGCAATTACAGTCAAGACTGTATTCTCCCTTATGGCCCTATCAAACTGAATTGCAGTAATTCTGATTACAGACATTTATTATACTAAAATAGGAAGATACTAAGGATATTATAAAACTTAAGATTACATAGAACTTAAAATCACATTGATAAGAACTAAATATTCTGTCTGTTGTATATATTTAGTAGTATGGCATAAAAAATTATAACTCAATGTCTACCTAGCTCCTTAGCCGTCATTACAGATAACATTTAGAAAGTTTGATTTTTCACTCAACTGCTTTTGCTGACAACTTTTCCTCAGTTGGATCTGTTTACTAGAGGCTTGAAGGCTCTACATGTTGACAAGCACAGTTTCAGAAGTAATAACTGAGCGTATGCATAGAGTTTCAGCCGTTTGAAAGGTTGGTTTTAGACTTGACAGCTCTGGCTGACAACTTATCCTTAGCTTAATCCGTTTATCATAGAGTCGTCAATCACATACTCAAAACTGCATTGAAAAAAAATGATGATCAAAGCTGTGACCACGTTAAGGAGTATTTAGTCATTTCTCTTTGTTACATTGATCTGCCTGGATCAAATGCGAAACTGACTCTCGTCAAATGGACATCATTGACAATCGAACCCTGTATTGACGGGTTACCCACGGGGAATGGAGGGGTGGCTGCTTAATACAGGTTAACCGCTTAATACAGCTTCGACAGAATAGGGGCCAAACGCGATGAAAAAACAAAAAACATCTTTTTGTCCTAACAGTCCAAGCAAGAAAGACATTTGAACTCAAAGTGCTAACATTTGTTCGGGAGATAAACATGGAAAATTTGACTTGAGAGATTATTATTGATTTTTTTTTTTTTTGGTGTTTTCACTTTAAGTGGTCGCACAATACAGGTGGAAACAATACAAACAAGCAGTTGGGACTCAGTCAAGGGTGACCACGACCGCTTAATAACGGTGGCGCATAAAGAGGTAAAAATTAAAATACTTGAGGAGAAACAATTTCGAAACAAATTTCGGAACTTTGACCAATATGGTGCCCCTTAAACACAGGTCCGACTATACGTTGTATTAATGTCTATCATTCGAGAACAATACAAATTTTTCATGACGGTACTACGTTTAGTCTTGTGTTACAAACTCTAGAGTGTGTTGCATCAACACTTACATCAGCTCGCTGCTCGTCTCGTATTCGGCAAAGAACTGTTGGCCCACAGGTATTCATGTTCGAATTATCCTCCATCAAGTCCACAATGAAGCTCACTTTTATTCTAGAACTTTCTGAAAACTTAAATGTGTTCGAATATGCGAAGAAAAACAGACGCCTCAAGTAGAGGATATCAACAATAGCCTCTACTTGGTGCAAAAATATGTATGGATACAGTTTTTCGAGAGTGAAATTCGTTGAGAAACGAGAGATTCGAGGAACAGATTATGCCCAAGGACACACATACGATGATATTTTGGTGCAAAATGGAGGCTATTGTGTTAAGTATCCTTCAAACATTTTGTAACGCGCGTGAAAAAATGTTTGCGAATAGCTTACCGTTTGTTGCGTGGGAGGTTTACTTTTCCGTGTTCTCTAGTAGGATTTTATGAACTAACAGAAATGTGCTTTGGATATTCTCCAGCTTTAGCTGTGGAAATATTCGGTAACGTAATACTTTTAGACCAGTCGCACGCGAGCAAAAATATTTGATGGATTCAAAGAAGGAATAATGGTATGATGTTGAGCATGATCTTATGAATCATCCGTACTGAGGTCTGAATTATTTGCCGAAGTCGAAGACTAATGTTGATAACGCAGACACGAGGTTTGATAATTTATGATATCATACGAAAACCAAATTCTGTAAGTGTTTCATCCTACATTTTTTAATTAATAGTAATCTGCAAAAGACGACATTTCTCTCCGAGTCTGCAAAAGTTTGAAAATTTAACACGGACGGAAGGCTTGAAAACGAAGCAGACTTTGAACGCAATATCCGCTGAGTGTCATATCCCCTGCAGATATTGTATTTATCATGTCAGCTTCACACTGTGTCACACGCTATTGTAAATTGATATATGCTCTCGACCAATCAGATTATACGTGGTAAGTCTAGGGTATAATTATTCCTCTTATCACGAACTTAACCTGGTCAAATTCTGTGTTATACCACATGAAGACATTGTTAAATGAGAATTTACCACGAAACAAGATATTCGGATATTGAAATATTGCTTAGGGTTTTCAAAAATGTGCCGTCCGCTCAAATTGAAAAAAAAATGGTTTAGTTTTAAACTTAAACCATAACTCGATCCCTCCTATAAGAATTTGTTAAATTGATACCAGCTTCTTTTCTTTTTTTTTTTTGCCCTTTTCATGAGCAAATTTCATTTGCTTCTAACCAGGGCACTGCCTCCCGGTGCTCATTCCAGTTTTCGTAAGTAATTTTGGGAATCTGGGCTAAATATGAAAGTTTCCATTTTTCGACCATAACTTACATTTTTGCGATTTTCACGTGTTCAACTCAGTAGAAGCGTACTAAAGAGCGCCAAATCACTTTGGATAACTCTAAGACAAAATTAAGGCTCACATTAGTCATGGAATATTTGCTTGTTTTTTAGTCACACTACTAAGGATATGCAGCAAATCTCGAGAGATTCAAGCTAAGGGTTCGGGTTAAACCAGAGATGTTCTTTTATGTTAATATACCGAAAAATGGATCCAAAGGACTTAAACATAGACGATGAAATGTGCAAGTCATCAAATTACTTCATTTTTATTTTTTTTATTCATTACAAAATTAACATTACAGCACTATTTAAATTATCACTGTAAACATTTCTAACAAAAAAGCAAAAAATAAAAAAAATTCCCAAGATGATGATAACTTTTCTAAAATTACACTTGCACTACATATTTATTCACCCTTCAGCAAGATATTATAAACTGATAATTTTTTACCCTTTAGCTCAGTCCTATTAAACATCATGCTTTCTTCTCAATAATTATACTTTTAATTTCGTACTTCATAACAATTCTGGCTGCAAATACTTTTGTCCTAAGTGGAATTTGGCTTCTTCTGCAGTCCCACAAGAACAATTTCCCGATCAATTAATTTATTTATTATTTTATTTTGCTATTTTAGTTTATCTTTGATTCCATGAAGTTATATTCGAGTTTCTTATTTTCAGTCTCCCTCTCCCCCCCCCCTCCCCCTACGAAACAATCGTCGTCCTCTTTTATAGAAATCATTTCATTCTTAGGCAGAGTAAATAAGTGGAAACAGCCAACTTAAAGATTATCTCCAATTTATCATGTATCATTATACAAAATTTATGATGTTGTATAACTTGAGGATTACAAACCTTTCTTTGGTTCATCTGATGCTACTTGCCGGCTCGCTTGCTCTGAAATTTCACTTTTAATTGACGAAAAAAGCGATAGAGAAGTCCGGAAAATGGTCGGACATAGTAAAAGTTGGCAGATTAGCTCAGCTCCGTGTTTTGTACTCTGATTCAGCACGCTGTATCAACCAATGAAAGCGCACGTCATATCCGAACTTTATTATAATATAACGTAAATTAATGTCTGCTATACTTCGTAATTGGAGAGCTGTTCGATTGAGTTTTGTATAACCAAAACCAAACTGATAACATCGGCCAAGCAGATAAAACGTTGACATCACAAGTAGTCAACGACCTCAAAGGCGGAAAGTGGATTGAATGAAATCGCAATTGGACTCAATTTTAGAGTCTGCATAAAGACCATGGCGCGAGTTCTCTAAATCAATCATAAAGCGCATTGAAGAATAACCAATGCAGTGCTGAATTGTTTTCAAATCTCCATCGAAAATTGCTCATGGTTCGCGTGATTAATGAACAGAGACAAGTAGGTGACGTGCCTGTCATTTACAAACAACATGTCAAAAAACCGCAAACAACAAGCCAACAGTGAAAACAACTGACAATTTAGGAATAAATGGCCCATTAGCCTTCCAAAGTTTCATGAAAACCGTTTGTCAGTCGACAAAAGAAATCTCATCTTTGAAAAAGCATTCTTTTTTTTTTCATATCACTTACATTTGTAAAGTTGCTCAAAAGTATCTTCTATTAACGTTGTCGCCGCAGATACACAGACTGCACAAGATGATAAGTCTGTATACGAAATAATGGCCTAGTTAACAAGTCAATTTTGAGATAAACTCACCATTCCTGAACGGCATAAAACACTGATGAACTACTCAGTTGTCAAAACTTCCATCCTGAAACTGCTCTAATAACAAGGCAAAACGAAGCTAAGAGTTTGCTCGAACTTGAACAAGGCGCTTTACGACTTAAGAAACATATTCATTATTGTGTTTTTAAGATCTACAAAGAATAATTTTGGAGAACGCCTCAGCAAAGAAACTTTTCATTGTACCAGTACACAAAGGATGTAAGGCACTGGGAAGGCAAATCAAAATAAAATTATAATCAATAAGGAGTCGATGATATCTTAATTGATACGCAGTGATGTTACAAACCCTTTCCCACACATAGTGGGCTTGATAAGGAAAATAACAAACGACGTAAATGATTCGCAGCTTGGTAAAGGTTTATCCAAAGTTCCGCTTACGAATTGAGATACACATTATTCATAAGATCTACAAAGAATGATTTTGGAGAACGCCTTAGCAAAGAAACTGTTCATTGTTCCATAACACAAAGGATGTAAGGCGCTGGGAAGGCAAATCAAAATAAAATTATAATCAATAAAGAGTTGATGATATCTAAATTGATACGCAGTGATGTTACGAACCCTTTCCCACACATAATGGGCTTGATACGGAAAATAACAAACGACATAAATGATAATAAGCATAAAAATCATCTTAAGTAAATCTTTCTCTGGGTTTGTGCTTTCGGGTTTGCTGTCTCTTCGGTTATTCTGATCGAGCACGACACTCTTTCGTTCCTTCATTCTCGTGTCCTCTCCCAAATCTTGTAGCTCCATTTGATCTTCGATTTGGACAACACAAGACGATTCGGCAGTCGAGGTCCGATTTCTTTCGTTAATCTGTACAATTCGCATCTTCAAGTTCCACGCCACTGCTCCGTAAGATGCCAGCATTATCACATAAGGTAAAGCGTAGTTCAGGATGAATCTGATAGCTACATAGGACCTATCCTTTAGGAAAGACAACTCCTCACACTTACCATTTCTAAACCTGAGACCAAAGAAAAAGGGGCAGGCGATTGCAAATGACAACAGCCACAGCCCAGATATGATCAGAATTGTAATTGTCTTTACTGATGATGGTGTACGTGGAAGAGGGTTTACAATGAATCTGTAACGATAAAAAGCGATGGCAGCCAGTGAGTAGATCACAACGAGAAGAGCAACTACTTGCAACGGATTCAAAATGCATGCGGCCTCTTGAAGAACGACGTCAGTTGGATTCTGCTGCCTCGCAAATATGACGGCCAAACAAACGCTGCTTAGAATTTCTGCGAAGGCCATGTTAGCGACGAGATGGTAGGACAGAGGCTTGCGGGAAGGTATGGTACACACAGCATAACAAACCATCGAGTTGCCGATTATACTGGCCGAGATGATCACGGAGAACAGGGTTAAACGGAAAATGTAAAGGGCTTCTGTTTCTTTATACTGTTCTATCCAGGAAACAGATCCCACCGTGGAGGGCTCGGTTGAGTTTGTGTTGTTTGTGAAGTTACTGATCAGCATCTTTTGGTCTTCTTCAGTTGACACCTTAAAAGGTTTAAATTATACTGTCAAATCAGAATATTTTAGACTTAATTTAAATTACACTGTTAGATCAGAATATTTAAGACTTTAGTAAGCTTTCGTGCCACTTCAAAGTTTATTGAGGCAAAAGGAACTATTCTAGCTATCGCGAGGATAAACATTAACACTAGTCCTTCATTTCATGGGAACCCATTTAATTTAGCAACTTAATCTGTTTCTCGATATCAATAACTTAAAACTGCCTTTCTTTTCCATTTACTCCAGTTTGTGCACGGATGAATATGTGTTTTAGTCTTCCTTCAAAGACTGTGTAGAATTTTTAACAATCGTTCATTAAATTAAGAGCCCTCACTTATTTTGATGAAAGATCCTTGAATACATCTAAAATAAAGTCCTTTTGTAACTTTAAGAGGGTTCAAGTTCTTTCCGCAAGTTGTAGAGGAACTGAACCAGGTAAAGTAACATGTGTGACTTACAAAGGTAACAAGCAGCTTCGTTGATCAGTTTTTTATGCGCGTTTCTCGGCTTTGATAGAGTAACAAGTTGGAACGCGTTTCTCCGCACAATCGAATCCCTTTGTAATGTAAAACTCAAGATAACTTGTGCAGGTAATTGTAAGCCTCGTAAAAATTTTTTAAATTATCTCCATTTAACACTAATTGTATTTTCAGCCGCAAACATCATAAAATATTTCCCTATGCTGTTCATAGTTTTGCGCACAGTCTGCTGGTACCTCATCAAAATTTCAATTACTTTTTGCTAAATGCCTTCATGGCAACAACATCTCGATTAATTGCGCGGTATTTGGGAGATAATTTAGCAGCGTTTCATGTCGAAAAAGAGCCAGTCTGAAAGGAAAGAATTCACAAATATCTTGATAATGAGCTTGAGGCCCAAGTAGCAACTAAATGCAGCATTCAGTGTGTATGTTTCTGGGAAGTTGTTCAGATGTCGAAGCAAAAGATGGTAAATTTGGTCGTTCGATGAATAGAAACGAGTATACTTGCCTTGTTTTCACCAAGTACTTTTTCATAATAGTGTCCAGAAACTGAATCAGACTTACTCTTTTTCTGTGATGAATTGCTGAGTGGAAATTTGCCAGAATTACCAAAACTATTTCCTCCGTAATCAAGTTTTGTTTGAGTGCGTGAAAAAGTGCAAGGAAACGGCAGCTGGACTGTCGAAGTTAAAGTGCAAAGCGTTTTAAAAGATCTACAATCTGAACATGAGAATCAACATGTTCGCCAAAAATTGGAAGAAATCACTCAGTAGCACAATAAAAAGTATCTTAAAAAATCGTAACTTGCATCTTTATCTTCGTTGGTGTTGTTGTTTTTCCTTGTTGTCGGGAGTTTTTTAAGTCCTTCCAAACTTACTTATGGTTAGGCTTTTTTGTACATCGTACGCGTTTGTCATTGAGGCTTAAAAAAAATCGTCCTCAATTTGCCATTTTGAATGTTATTATTACAAAGAAGTACGTTAATAACCTTTGCCGTAAAAGCACTATCCAGCGCGTGGCGATTTTCTCCAGTTTTGGTGGGTTTGTAGCTGCACAACTGGTAAATTTTGAAACGTACGCGAAGAACCCATTTCAGTGCTGGGGATATCCATATTTCATTTCTAGCCAATCACAGACCGAAAATAAAAGAGAATACTGTGAACTACAAAACTACAAAAGGATCGCCACATCATAACTTAAAGGAAAACATACATCATTCTGCACTTCTCGTGACATGTATTTACAAGTTGGTCATGGAATCAGCTTGCGACCGAAATTCCTTTCTGCCGCAAATTTCAAGAGAGGAAAAATGCGGCAGAACCAAACGTACAAGGTCAGTTTAAGGGAGAATAAGCTAAAATAAACTATCTTGTATTAAACTACCTGTCGTTCACTCCTGCAGATTCGCTGAGTGCTTGCACTTAAGCTTCAACCTTTCGTTGTGACAGTCGCCTACTGACGAACAAAGCTCAACTGAAATATTAACGCCCAACGGACAATTATCACCTGCATAAAACAGTTTGGGAAATGCAATTACATTTAAGCTCTAAAGCTGTCAGGATATACATTAATGAAAAGGGCCGAGTTTTACGCAGAAAAAAGATGACAATTTATTTTGTGAGTAAGAATTGAAGTCCAAACAAGTCTTTAAGACATGATATTATATTTATTTCCTACCACCAACGGTTATTTGAACCATTGTTTATGGAAACTACAATTAAAGGCCCGAACTTTTCATTGAATAATTTCAATTACTGCCGCGACAAAACGTCGAGTATCTTCTGCATTCGGACCACGTCCGCCGTCTTTTAGATTCTCTTAAAGCATCCTGGAAGCTTTAAACTTGTCTCCATCGGCGAAGTTTTTTTCTTCACCACGTCGCTTACACCCTTTCAATCCTAGTTGTCCATTTAAAATTCCGGGCAAAGATCTCTGCTACCAATAGCGGAAAAAACCATGGAAGCGTCTGCATAAACCTAAAGGGAAATAATTATCATATATATTAACACTGGAATAAGAAATAGCTCATTCACTCTTCCACCTGTATTCCATTTAGCTGTTTGTGCATTAAACTAGTAATTAGTTGTAGCACAGAATACTTACGTATTAAGATATCGTTGGAGATGAAAGTGAGTATTTTACACACGGGAAATAGGACATAAGCTGTAGCTAAATGGGTTGATCAATAGAGCTGTACGCCATACTAACGAGAACTAAATGCGCTTAGCTCGAGAAAGCTGTCTAAGGCTGTGAACTTTTAATAAACAGAAGTACTCAACGTCACCAATATTTGTGCTCTTATAAATATGCTCATCGTTCTTTTGGGTACTGGATTATCTCAGTATCTTTCCCAAATGTACAATTGCACAACCTTTTGGTTCGCAATATCTTATTGAAATAAAACCAATCCGCTGTTTGTGTAGAAAAGCTGACTGCAATGCTTCTGGGATAACGAAAAATCACTCAATTTTAAATGATCGAAGCTTCTTGACACTAGCGGCGGCCACATGGTCAGTTCTAGACGCAAATAACGCGACATGCAAATGCAGATCATATATAATGGACAATGACGACTCGGAAAGTACAAATAAGGACTTAAATTATATATTTTTAATTACAAGTTTTCTTCAACCTACTTTTTCACTTCATATAAAAACTGGCACGTAGGAATCATTTTCAATGTCAGCCTGTCACTCCACTAACGGGGAAGTACTATGATGAAATCAATTTATAAAATAGAACGTAGATTTTGAAACTAACCATCCAGTAAAATTTTACTTTCATAAAAAATATTTATGTTAAATAATTCATCCTTTTACCTACGAGAAAAAAAAGTTTTCTGAACGGTTTTTGTTCGGTAAACAGTTTTCGTCTGTTTATTAAACTGTTTTTTCTTCAATGGAAACAAACGCTGCATTTAATAGTATAATGGTGATAAAAATGTTCCTTAAGAGAAAAAATTAAATCAATCAATTGTGAATGAAGGAGAATAACTAGCATATAAACAATTTTCTTCGGCAAAAAACAGCTGCTTGTTTCCATGAGCTTGGTACGGTATTGAGCCGATAATTTTACGCAGACAAGATTTTGCCAGCTAAGCGGCAAATTGCCACATAGGACCCACGCAATTTTTCACTACTTCCCGACAGTTTTGTGAAGCCGGTCCATCTATATATTTCCAAAGGAGGACTTGGCAAACGCAGCGTAGTCTTTCAGGGAATGGAATATTTTAATTCATGATTCAATCGTGACAAACGGAAGGGACAGGTGGAGGAGGAAGAAACTTAAGTGCCAATATGTTTCTGAGGGAGCCATAAAAGCTCTTCATTTCTGTTCCTGGACTGCATTGGGCATCAAAGTTCGTCGTGCTCGTTCGATCCACCTTCCCATAATATGTTTCGAACCACGCCCATACTTGGTATGCCACGTAATCATAAATAAAAATAATGATAAAAGAAAAAAAAATAGGAAAACACTCGGACCAGGTGGGTCGTCTTTAAATTGATATATTATTTTGTGCAGAAAAAAGAAATTTCACTTTCGAAAATTTGTAGCATGCGCTTGATGAAACGTAGGATATTTGATTAAAACTATAATTTTGTTATAAATGCATTTTATTTATGATGCTCACCATCTGTTCATCAAAGGAGCTTATCTGTACCACAGGCAGTGTAAAATATCAATCTCCATCTGACCCACGAAATATCTGCTTCTTAAAGCTAGTTTTGTGTGAGGAAATGAGTCATTTTTTTAGTCCCGCGTGGCTTTGTTCTGTTGGAGACTGTCGCTAGAAGCGCTGGTCCATTTTCGTATACGAGGCCAGCTGCCACCCTAGCGCAATAAGCTCTGCGTACGGGAGAACTGGTTTCCGGATCATCCATCTAAGTATTGATCAAATTATGAATTTGAAACAAGACTTTCTTATTGAAATATGTCCCTGTAAAGAGTAATAAAGAGCGTAACTTTCTAAAGAAACTGTGATGTTGCGTTGGTAAAAGGGTAATACAAGGCATTTTGGCATTATCAAATGTCCTTATAATGTAAATTGGCCTCTGTAGAGAAAATTAAATTGTAGATTTTCCACTATCGATTCGCACTGACAAAGGACTGACGCTCGAAACTTCAGCTTTAGAACATTTCTACAGTGGCCAAGTTACATCATCAACTCAGTTGATAAAACCAGGGAAAGAAGAACAATTATATTACGCTAAAAAGGATCCATCTGCGACGAGAACGTAATTTAGAAATTCAAATTAATCGCGCAGCTTTTTTCACTAAGGCTTCCTGTCATTAATCTTTTCAAATCTTCCCCGCGAGCGGAGAAATGTGCGTCCTTCCTAAGCTGTCTTCACATTCCCTAGTTATAAGTTTTTACACTCGCAGAGTGATGACAAAATGAAGTTTCTATGGATATGTGATCACCTAGGTATTCATTCCCAAAGTTTGTTGTTCTTGAGAGTCCAAAAAGAACTAAATCATCTGACAAAAATTCTACTTTGGAAGCAAATGAAATTCAAGCTTTAAAAGGGTCGATATAATCTTAAAGGGAAAGGGCAATCAACGATCTTTGCCCCTGACGAATTAAAAAACTACCTTTAAATTATGCAAACAAAAACTCCGTTGTGTCGGCTCATTAATTCCTTCAGCTGACAGTTTTGAAAATTTATATTTATCCATCCGAAGGATTATTCTTCTATGATAAAAAAAAAAACGAGTACTTGCTAACTTAAGTAAATAATTGCTCTCAAGGCCATTATTCGTCTTCGATGCATTAGCTCATTGTTCCTGATATTTTAAGTTATTAGAAACACTTGAGGATGGGTAAAGAATGACTGAAAGACAATTCGTCGCGGCTCTGTAAGTTTTGAAATGCTATAAATTTTTAATAACTTTCGTAAATTCGCCATAAATGTGGAATTTCAGAAATCCCCAAAATCTAACTGTCGACATCCAATGGCACAAAAAACGTTTGATTGATTCTTAAAGGTAATTTTATATATCTCTTCCTAGTAGCAGTAACACAGGTCACCTGCGATAGAAGATTCTCGTTTTCAGCCCCTTAGGAGTTACTTATCACAGGAACACGGAAATGTCGTTATTTACCAACACTACCATAAATGGAATCAATACCTCCACCGTGAGCGCAATTGAACAATATGAAGAACCAAAAGCTCTGTACATTTTCCGTTTAACCCTCTTCTCCGTGATCATCTCGGCCAGTTTAATCGGCAACTCGATGGTTTGTTATGCTGTGTGTACCATACCTTCCCGCAAGCCTCTGCCCTACCATCTCGTCGCTAACATGGCCTTCGCAGAAATTCTAAGCAGCGTTTGTTTGGCCGTCATGTTTGTGAGCTGGCAAACGAGTCCAACTGACGTCGTTCTTCAAGAGGCCGCATGCATTTTGAATCCGTTGCAAGTAATTGCTCTTCTCGTTGTGATCTACTCACTGGCTGCCATCGCTTTTTATCGTTACAGATTCATTGTAAACCCTCTTCCACGCACACCATCATCAGTAAAGACAATTACAATTCTGACCATATCTGGGCTGTGGCTGATGTCATTTGCAATCGCCTGCCCCTATTTCTTTGGTCTCAGGTTTAGAAATGGTAACTGTGAGGAGCTGCCTGTCGTAAACAATAGGTCCTATGTAGCTATCAGATTCATCCTGAACTACGCTTTACCTTATGTGATAATGCTGGCATCTTACGGAGCAGTGGCGTGGAACTTAAGGAGGCGAATTGTACAGATTGAAAGGCTAAATCGGGATTTGAATGTTGTACCCTCTCGTGTTGATGAAACTGAGCTCCAAGAGTTAAGAGATGGTACGAGAATGGAGAAAAGAAGGAGTGTTCTGCTCGATCAGAATAACCGAAGAGACAGTAAACCCGAAAACACAGACCCGGAGAAAGATTTACTTAAGATGATTTTTATTCTTATCATTATTTTTGTTACGTGCTATTTTCCGTATCAAGCCCATTATGTGTGGGAAAGGGTTTGTAACATCACTGCGTATCAATTTAGATATAATCGACTCCTTATTGATTATAATTTTATTTTGACTTGCCTTCCCAGCGCCTTAAATCCTTTGTGTTATGGAACAATGAACAGTTTCTTTGCTAAGGCGTTCTCCAAAATCATTCTTTGTAGATCTTGAAAACACAAGAATAAATATGTATCTCAAGTCGTAGAATGCCATGCTCGAGTTCGAACAAATTCTCAGGTTTGTTTTGCACTGTTATTAAAGCAGTTTCTGGGTGAAAGTTTTGTCAACATGAGTTGTTCCTCAGTGTTTTACGCCGTTCAGGACTGGTGAGTTTATCTCAAAATTGACTTGTGAACATATACAGACTTATCATGATGATGAATTTTTTTGTGCAGCTGCGTATCTGCGGCAACAACGATAGTGGAAGGTACTGTCGAGCAACGTTACAAATGTTAAAAACTTTAATTTACTTCAA